ACTATGCCCACCCATTCATGGTATCCTATAATAGTGCTACCACCCCAGCAAAGACAGAGATTCCTTAGCCTGGTACAAACGTGGACCACAGTCTTTCTCCTGCAAGGGTGAAAGATTTTCCTCTGGCTGGCTCCCGCCAGGTGCCTGGAGAAAGGGGTCTCCCGGGACCCGGCCATTCTGAAGGCCACTGAAAGGGCAAACTAAAAGTGTTGGCTTCTTAAAGATCCCAAGATGAAGATTTTCTTGAAAGAAGGGCATTTCCAAGTATAGTATAACAGCTTGCTTTTGACTCCTCCCGTCCCCCAAGGAGGCCATTAAGCTGGAATGTATCCGTGGTGGAAAGATCCGTTAAAGTCAAGGCTGGAAACATCACACCATCCACCCCTGCTCGCTTGTATCAGAAATCTTTAAAATAGAGCGGAAAAGAGTCTTTATCTCAAATTCTGACCCATTGGGCCAGTAAAACTCCTGGTGTTATGTAGTGGTTACTAGAATAGAATGCAGAGTTAGAATTCCTGTTGTGGGAAACTTGCTTTTCTGAGGAATCCCCGCAGGTAAATGTTCTTTGATAATAAATGACAGGGAGCAAGATGGATCCGAGACACTTGGGGTTGCAAGATTTCCATCAAACCCTCAAATAAAAGGAGGCGGCGACTGTTGTATAAATTCCTCCTCACCTAATTTCCACGTAATGCTCTCAAAGTATTCTGGCAACTTTCTGTGTAAACCCCAACAGCAGGCAGTCTCTACCAACCTGACTTTGCTTGCTGGGGTTGGAATGGTTAGGCTAATTCTGTGCAGAGTAGCTTTGTGCAGCCTCACTGTTGGTTGAACAACCAGCTTTGGAGTCCTGGCATGAATGTAAGAACCGGTATAATGTGTACAAAATGCTGACAGATAAAACCACTTGGAGAACAGGTTTTTGCATTACTTCCAAGGAGACAAGATATTTCCTAAAATACCAAGACAGAGTAAGTGTCTCATTTTCTCCTACCCTGGGAAGTAGGAGTGAACACCTAGCCTGAGACATTTATGTTCTCCAGATTATCAGCTCTGGGCTTCTCAGCAGCAGTTGGCAGCATCTTTGTTCCAGTGTCTTCCAAAGGAATTGAGTTTGCCCTCTCCCTAGATAGCAAGCAATACTTAAGAAGTAACCAAGGTAAAAGTAATCTCCTGTAGGGGTCCCAGCTGTCCCCACCCCACCCTGCTGAGACCCAAACACTTCCCTCCAGCACTTCCCTGGGCTTGGTGAGGGGGAAACAGGCCAAGAACTATACCGAAAGCAAACGGGCCACTGCGTACCTATTCAGGGAAAATGAGCTGCATCTGCGCACAGATGTCTCACCAGAATAGGCCTTTTTCACATGATGTTAGAAAACCGTTCTCTGTATCTAAGCTTACAGTGATGTAATCACCTGCTCCTTCATTTTGAAGGGTGTACAGAGGTCCCCCCAGCATAAGTTGCTTGGTTCTTTGAGTGGGTTTTCAACTGGTAGCAGTGATCTGTGCTGGTGGTGACACAGGTGCATGTGTAAGGCTTTGCATCTGCGCACCTCCACAGGCGTCATTTGTCCTCTTATGCGAGCAGCCGGCTCACATTAGCCTTCTGTTCTACGGAGGCCCAGAACTATGTAACTGGAGTGTGTCTGGGCTCCAGTGCGCTCCTTGCCAAGAATCCGTTTGGTTACTCTTGTAGCTTTGGTTCTGCCTGGGACAACAGCACATTTTTGAGAAAGGAGTGCAAACAGGGAGCAGCCCTCCTGAAAAGCCCAGAACAGAGAAAGGCAGGGCGGCCCCTTCTCAGCTTCTGGGCATGTAGCTTATGTCATCCTATGAGGCCTGGGAAAGAAAATGCTGTTGAGTAGCATTGTCTTTCCCTTGCACTTGGCCTTTAGTTTTTTTTTTTTTTTTGAGGCGGAGTTTCGCTCTGTCGCCCAGGCTGGAGTACAGTGGCCAGATCTCAGCTCACTGCAAGCTCCGCCTCCCGGGTTTACGCCATTCTCCTGCCTCAGCCTCCCGAGTAGCTGGGACTACAGGCGCCCGCCACCACGCCCGGCTAGTTTTTTTGTATTTTTAGTAGAGACGGGGTTTCGCCGTGTTAGCCAGGATGGTCTCAATCTCCTGACCTTGTGATCCGCCCGTCTGGGCCTCCCAAAGTGCTGGGATTACAGGCTTGAGCTACCGCGCCCGGCTGGCCTTTAGTATTTTATGGAGAGAATCTGCTTATTCTTGAGCAGAAATGACATCTGGAAGAGGTTGGACGCAGACAGGCACTGTCTGTGCATCCCCCAGCCACATTTCCCCACCGGATCCCAAACAGTGCGAGTCATAAGGAGTTTTCACACCCTGTTTCTCTTCAAGGCTCGTCTACTTAAACTACTCCCCTCCCTGCCAAAAAGGATATTAAGTGACTGCAGTAATGTTTGCACATCTCCCAGCACAGGCTTTTCAGCTGAGGGCTATGTTGCATTTTCCCTTTCAATTTACTATGCAAGCAATTGTTTTGCTTTGTTGTGATTTACAATTTGACTTGAATAAATCTGGCTAATTCCCCAAAAGGAAGAAAAGAAAAAGGCATTTCCGGGAGAAATCACCCCCTGAGCCTGCAGATCCTGGGGTCCCAGCACCACTAGGTCCTTGGTTCCTGCTCCTCCTCCTCCCTGGTGCCACTCAGAGGCTCTCACTTAACTGCCTAGGAAGCCGCAGGCATCCCTGCCTTGTTGAGACAGCTCAGAACTGCTCTGGCTCGAGAGCTTGCAGAAGCAGTCCCGTGTGTTGCTGAAAACAACCTGGGAAGCCATCCGTCTCTCTCGGCTTGCTCTTCTCTTGGCCTCAGGCGCCCTTTCCTGCTCTTCTCAAACTCTGAGGTCTGATTTTCCCCGCTCCATCGCTGTTCCACAAGCAGCGCTCCCTCCTCATTTCCTCCCCACTTTGCCCCACCTGCTACACCATGATATCATTTCCTTCCTACCTGTGATGCTGCCGGAACCCCAGAGGATGGTGCCTGCAGAGCCCGTGACCCTGTTTGACACTTGGCTCTCAGCTGTTTTCCCCATCTTTGCAACAAAGGCATAGGATCAGATGATTTTTATTCCCCATTCTAGCTCACATTTTTGAGTCTTGGGATTATTCTCTTCCCTCGGCCTGTCAGATAAAACAGAGCAGGCACCGCTCCCAGTTGCTGCCCGACCTGGAGCTGATCAGTGATGTGACCATTGCCGAGGGGCCCTGAGCTGCAGCCTGGGGAGGCCCTGCTGCGCTGTGCCTGCCCGGCAGCTGCGGGTGCAAAGGTGTGGGCAGGCAGGGAAGTGTTCAGGTGCTTAGGCACGGACTTTTCTAGACTTGCCATCTCAAGTGACTTAATTGCAGCTAAGTTAGGTCAATAAATACCAACTGATGATCAACATGAATAATTGATGGTTTTTTGTGTGTACCTCAGTAGCCAAAAGTCATGATGAGAGCTTCTCTGTGCACGTGCTGTTGTTTTGTCTTAGATTTTTAAAATAAACTCTGTTTTAGGATAGTGTTAGATTTACAGAAGAATCGTGAAGCGTACAGAGCTTGCATGTGTCCCTCACCGTTTCATATTAGGAATGTGTATCTTATTTTGGTGGGTACACTGGTTACAATCAATATTGATGTGCTGTCACTAACTGACATCCATATTTGAGTCAGGTTTCCCTCGTTTTTCCCAGGTGTCCTTTTTCTGTCCCAGGATCCCATACAGGATCCCACATTGCATTTAGTCCTCACGTCTCTTTAGCTCCTCTAGGCTCTGCCATTTCTCAGACTTCCTAGTTTTTGATGACCTTGACAGACTCAGTCCGGTATTTTGTAGAATGGAATGTGTCTGGTGGTTTTCCCATGGTTAGCCTGGGGCTGTGGGTTTTGGGGGAAAGACCAGGGAGATGAAGTGCCCCTCTCATCACATCACTCTGCCAACGTGACTGTCACTGTCGTTGGCCTCGGTCACCTGCTGCAAGCAGTGGTCCTCGGGTTTCTCCACTGAAGAGTTTATCTGTCTTCCCACCCCCACCCTTCCATCCTGGACTCTGTGGAAGGAAGTCTCTTCCCTTCAGATGTGGGGGGCAAAGCTCCGCCTTTTTGAGGGTGGCTGCTGGCCTGTCCTTGCCAAGGGCTCACCTGTCGCGTCTGGCCAGGCAAGGTGGGCCCGTAGGTTGGAGGAAAGCAATCTCAGAGCCATCCCACAAGGCACAGGGTGTCCTGGGCCCTAATGGGGTATGTCCCATGTGAGGGTGGGATGGATGGATACATGTCCTCTCGTGATAAGTGCCCAAGAGCACATCAGATATGCATATATATCATGTACCACAGAGCACATTGGGCTGACATTTCAGCCCAGAAGAAAAGTGCTTCCTGGAGTAGTAAGTGATGAAAAGCCCTCACTGGTAATAACTCAACATTTTTCTGCTTCCACTTACCTCTGTGTTACCTTAAAAGTGAAAACAACTGGCTCCTTACCCTCAGGGGATCCTAGAAAGATCTAAAAAAAACCATTGTTATTGCTATTCAGGGCTTCTGAGTTTTAATAATTTAATAATGTAATTTAATCATGAAATTACGATATGGTTTGGTTTGCCTTCTATTACAGCATACTTAAACTAACACCTTGTTTTTCCTGTATATTATCTGATGACTGAGTGTAGGAACAATGTCATTAATGTGTGTTTCCTCTACTACATAATTTCCACCCATGGAAGAGTCTCCATTAAGAGGACCTGATACCAATGTGGAAGCTCAGAGACCTCGAAATGAAGTCAGCTGTATCTGTTGGCCTGCTGGGATAATTCTGTATGTGCTGGTGAAACTGGAGAAGGCTGTGTGCTTCTGACAATCAATGGAATTCTACGAATTAAAGCATTTTAGCAGGAAATGATTATGAAGGACCTGATCACTGTCTGTTTCAATAATGTGATAAGATGAGAGTGATGGAATGAAATGAGGAGCAATCAGGAAACATCTTTGTTCTTTTTCAACAGCTCTGAACAGCAACATGGGGTGCAAAGTCCTGCTCAACATTGGCCAGCAGATGCTGCGGCGGAAGGTGGTGGACTGTAGCCGGGAGGAGACGCGGCTGTCTCGCTGCTTGAACACTTTTGACCTGGTGGCCCTCGGGGTGGGCAGCACGCTGGGTGCTGGCGTCTATGTCCTGGCTGGAGCTGTGGCCCGTGAGAATGCAGGCCCTGCCATTGTCATCTCCTTCCTGATTGCTGCGCTGGCCTCGGTGCTGGCTGGCCTGTGCTACGGCGAGTTTGGTGCTCGGGTCCCCAAGACGGGCTCAGCTTACCTCTACAGCTATGTCACCGTTGGAGAACTCTGGGCCTTCATCACCGGCTGGAACTTAATCCTCTCCTACATCATCGGTAGGTACCGGGGGTCCGGAGCTTGTGCCCTCTACCACTTTTCTGTTTGTTCCCACCTCCAAAGTGTGGGCGGATGCCCCATGGGGAGGTCATTCTTGTTAACACGAGAGGCACAGAATTTATAGGATGTTTCTGATTCATTTAAAAGTATTTAGTTTCTTTTAGTATGTTTTTTAGTTACTAGAGTAAATGCATCACTGATAGAGAAAAACTGGGAAAATAAAGAAAAGCACAAAGAAGAAAGTAGAAATATCCTGCCTGACAATGTGGAGAAACTAATTCTCTTATTCATTCATTCATTCATTCATTCATTCATTCATTCTTTTAATAAATGTTTATTGAGTACCTGCTCTGTGCTGGGCATTGTGCTAGATACTAGGGATCCCACGAAGGCATAAGACACTCTCTGTTCAGCAGTTTACTGTCTACAGAGAGAACTATTGTTCTAACATTTTTGTGAATTTAAATGTATATTTTTGTACAGTATACCTATTTATAAAACAACATAGAGTAAACACTTCTCATATCATTAGCTATTTTTCCATGGTAACGTTTCTAATGCTTGCCTACCCTTGTATAGATTTCTATACACAGCGTGTAACGTATTGGATGTCTTTATGGGTTGTTCAGATTGTTTCCATTATGTTGTTGCTGTTGTTATAAACAGTTACTTACTTTATGTTTTTGTGCTTAGCCATGATTCTTTTCCTTAAAACTGTCTAAGGAGCAGAATGGCTCTTGATGGGTCTGCATGTTTTTAAGGCCTTTGTTGACTGTGATCCTCCACGTAGCCAGGGCCCCCTTACCCTGCAGTGTGGACACTGGACATCGGCCTGTAACACAACCACCCAGCAAATAAAGAAGCAAATGTAGAAAATCTTTCCAGTTTGCCAGGTAAACACGCTTTGCTTCCCTTTATGCTTTTTTGTATTTTGATTACAACTGAAGTTGAACACGTCAACTTAAAAGAAACAAAAACCTAAGTCTCAGAAGAAGCAAAGGGTGCACACGGCCACTCAACGTGCCATTTGTTTTTTTTCTCAAATTTTTTGGTAATAGCGAGAAAACAGTAAGACCTGGTCAGCGGAGCCATGTGGGTCCCGCCTTGCTTCTGTGCCAGCTCCCACTGGACCCTACCACACCCGCCCTGCCACGCATGCTGCCTGCTGGGACCGTCCCAGCCCTGGGCTCCCCGCAGCCCTATCTCTGCATGGGGGGCACCACTCCCCCTTCACCAGGACAGCTGGCAGAGGGCACACACTCACGCTCTCTGAACAGCACCTTCGCTTTCTTTCCAGCAGCTGCAGTATCTGCCGAGAGCCAACCTAGCTTAGTCTTCTGGGCTCTAAAATAAAATTCATGATGTTTTCTTTCAATGCCACATCAAAACTTTACAGCCACACATGGTTCTCACAAGCTGAGGTCTCTCACTGGGAATGTAGCTATTGTAAATGGACCGTTATGTTTCCAGAGGATTTACCTGAGCATAAAATATACATTGAGCATGAACTGCTTGCAGCTTCTAGACCAGCAAATGAAAGGCTCTGCCAGAGTGCCATTTGCTTGTGGGAGAACATTTGCATGCATTATGAAAATATATTTGCAGCCTTAGCTGCTGGGAAGGGCAGTTTTTCCAGCAAACTTTTTTTTTTTTTTAAAGGCATGATTCAGAAATTGGGAGAGGGTAGGCTGGGAAGAAAGGCTCGGGTAACCCCTCTCATCGAGCAGGACAGGGTTTGGGAGCCACATTTGCCAAGAGCCAGCTGCTTTGGGGGTGACAGGGAGATGGTGAGACCATGTTTACAGAATTCATAATAGATTGGCTGCTCAGGAGGAAGAAATGTGGTTAAACTTCTGAGTTGTTGGAAAGATACTTACTTATCATAAGACCAAATAGTGAAATTGAATCTCTGCAGATGACTCTGGCAGTATGCGGTGAATAATTGGGACCATGGTCACTGACAAGGCCCCCTTTGAAAACAAAGGAAAATGCTCTATGGAAATACTGGAATTTTAGTGACATTTCCTGAGAAACACCAATGGAAACGCATTCTGACTCTCTCCAGAATTATATGAGAGGAGAGAACGAGAGTGAAAGACAGCAGCCAACTATTGTTGGCATTTTGGGTGCTGCCCTGTTGGTGTTCTTCAGCGCTGGAGGGTGCAGGCTGAGGGGAGAATGAGGAGAGCTGGGGTCTGTCTGCGGTCCCGCACTCTGGGGATGCCATGGCCTCCGAGTCACGTTCAGGCACAAAGTGGCAGAGGTGGCTGATGCCTACTCTGAGGTGAGCAAGTGGCTTTGTCCCTGAGCTGGGGTTCAGCCCCTTCAAGGACCTCCTAGGACACCTCTTCTTGCTGGGAGAAGAATTATGGTGCAGGCGCCATCATCTCTGCTGCCAAGAGTTTCCTAGAAAAGGGCTTCCTGACTGGGGTTCCTGCAGACTGCCAGCTGCACCCCAGGAGTGCATTATGAAATCAGTTTTTCATGAGTTGTCATCAATGTTTACTTTTTCAATGCAACAAAATAGGTAGCATTGCATACTATCAGAGTGCCTCTCAGGTGGTAAGGGTAACACTTGTTTTGCAAACTTTTTATTCGGATATGTATATTTGATAGAATACACCTGTGCATATTGGGTGGGATGTGAAATGCATATCCTCTGTGGGCCCTAGAAGCCTTCTCGCACTTAGCACTAGTTGACCGTCACTTCTGGCTCAGCATACGCTGTGGTCTGGCTGCTGCCGCCAGATTCCAGTGCACCGTCAGTGACTCCTGCAATGATGTTATGAACATGGAGCTCCACTACAAGTACCTGGCTAACCGTTGTCCTCACATCCCCTCTGTTGTGTGTGCTTTGGGGCAGGTACTTCAAGCGTAGCGAGGGCCTGGAGCGCCACCTTCGACGAGCTGATAGGCAGACCCATCGGGGAGTTCTCACGGACACACATGGCTCTGAACGCCCCCGGCGTGCTGGCCGAAAACCCTGACATATTCGCGGTGATCATAATTCTCATCTTGACAGGTAAAGAAAGCCCACACTGAAAAAGAGATCAGGTCAGAGTGACGGTCAAAGGTTCTGTGAGAGGCTCCTGTTAAGTTCTTTTCTTTACTTATCTCTTAAACCACAACCCCATTTATTTTTGTTTTGTTTTTGTACTTCATGCAGGCATCTTTATTTGTCCCTGTCTTTATGGCCGCTTGTAGATTCAGATAGGGCTGGCCTGCTTCATAGCTGCTGAGTTGTGTGCCATTTCATTAAAAGAGAATCTTAGGTGTTTAGCCTAGCTGTTTGTGGAATAAGATTTTGTCAGCACTGCAGGCTTTTTGTATGAGTGTCCTGGGAATAAAAATTCTTTTGACTCAGAGGATGACCATTTGGAAAGCAAAGCTGTCATTCATCAGCCAGGAAAATGTGGAGGAATGAGCTCCGTCTGGAACACTAATGTGTGCCTGGGGCGTCTGAAGACGACTTGGATGCTTTTACACCTAACAACCATCAAAACACCCTTTCAATAAATAAGTTTCATGACAGAGTTGTGGTTACAGAATTTGAAAAATCCCAAAGACTGCCTGAACACAGCTGATGGCAACTTCTTGCTAGTGACATTTGTGCGTGTCTTGGCCAGTGCAATGCGAGTTTTGCTCTGTGGGGCTGTATAAACGTGAAGCTGAAATGCAGATAAATTCTCATTTGGGGTTAGAAAATCTTGGATGAGTTTTAAAAATGACATGCCTTATTTTACACACCACATAATTGAAATAACTTCACTCAGGCTGGTCTCAGCAGTATTTCTGGTCCAGCTGGCAGAAACATGCGTCAGAAAGTAAGTCTGCACTAGTGAGATTAGGAGGAAGAGTAAAGAAGAAATACATTGTTGTGTTGAGGTGTTCTCCCTGTGATTAATCACACAATTCTCTTCTAACATCTGTACTTTATAATTCCATCTCAACAGTACAGCAGATTTTATTTTATTTTATTTTATATTTGAGACAGAGTCTTGTTCTGTCGCCCAGGCTGGAGTGCAGTTGCGTGATCTTGGCTCACTGCAACCTCCGCCTCCTGGGTTCAAGTGATTCTCATACCTCAGCCTCCCAAGTAGCTGGGATTACAGACACGCACCACCACACCCAGATAATCTTTTATATTTTTAGTAGAGATAAGGTTTTGCCATATTGGCCAGGCTGGTCTGGAACGCCTGACCTCAAATGATCTGCCCACCTCCCAGAGTATTGGGATTACAGGTGTGAGCCACCGCACCCAACCAGTTTTTATTTTAAAACTATGAGGAGCGTCCATGGCAGAGCAGTGGTCTCAAATCCTGGCTGTGTTTGAGTGGTACCAGCCCCTTCTGTGCCACTTTTCCTGCGCAGCAAAGACTTCAGCTACGGAAGTACCTGAATGACCTCTTCACCCTAAGGTGGTGCTGGGGCATACGCCTCAAAGGCAGCGCTATCAGAGGTTCCTGGGCATCTTTATTACTTAGTTTTCTTTAAAAAAAAAAAAAAAATGTGAGTTTGCACGCTAGAGCTAGCCTAGCTCAGATGTTATTTTATATGCACTGAGTCCGATGAGGAACCATGTATGTTAGTGGTTCCAGAACCATAGTTAGTTGTTACTGTTAGTATCACTAACATCCCAAAGTCAACCAGAATAATTTCCTCTTCTGAAAAATGCCCGTTCTCCCAGGAAACTGAGCAAAGTGTTTCTTCCTGGAATCGTTCCTGGAGGCTGTTTCCCAGCAATGCATTCTTTTCGTGAGCGGGAGCGGCTTGGTGTGCGGGTCCAGGCTTTCCCTCCCTATGAGAGGGGCGCGTGCTTCCGATCTCTGCAGTCCTCGGGTGCCTCTGCATGGGCTTCTTAGGGGATCTGGAGGTCACCTAGAAGGGCCTGGGAAGCACCCACAACCTTGGTGATTTAGACCCCAATCCCTGCCCCCAGAAAGATCGTTAATCCACCCCAAGCCCAGAGGCTCACAGAGGTCTGCAGAAGCTCGATGCACTTGGATTCTTTTTCAGTCGCCTTCTTATCCCCATCCAGGAAGGACCTTCCCAGTTGGTGGTTAACACTCAGACAAGGTTTTGTGTCTGTGCACTTTTTCAGGACTTTTAACTCTTGGTGTGAAAGAGTCAGCCATGGTCAACAAAATATTCACTTGTGTCAACGTCCTGGTCCTGGGCTTCATTATGGTGTCAGGATTTGTGAAAGGGTCGGTTAAAAACTGGCAGCTCACGGAGGAAGATTTTGGGAACACGTCAGGCCGTCTCTGTTTGAACAAGTGAGTTGCTGCTTCTGACCATTCTTATTTGGTATTTAATGACATAGACTTGTATGGGGGATATAACTGGCTCGGATGGCTTGTGCTTTTAAAAAAACATTATTGGAGTATATGTTGTTAATTGTTTTGTTTTTTTGCAGTGAAGTAGCTGAGGGTATTTTGTGTGTATCAAGTTTGTGTGAAGGTTTATTCCCCTGAAATGGAAAGACTATTGTATGACAAGAAAGACTGAGGGAAAGAAAATCATCACCCTAATTCCAAATTGTGTATCATTCAAGATTCTTGTCAGACTCATTAAATGATCCCTCTTTCCCCAGATTCTGTTTGATGGCCAACTTTCGAATTTTGTGTTCAGAAAAGATTTTTCTCTGCAGTGCCATGGTGACCTCACTTTACCTTTGAATACCTTCCTGTTACATTAATAATGTAGAGGGAAGATAAATAGATGAAACTGCTTTTGAAGGTTTGCAGAATGACTGAAGTGTCAGAATGTGAGCACAACAGTCTCTTTCGCCGACAATTTGACTTGTGCTGCTCCAGCCCTGGTGACAGTGGCCCCATCACCCTCATGTCTCTGACGCAGACACCCGGAACTGGAGGTGACACCTCCACCCTGTGCCATCTCAGGTCTCTCACCCAGCCCTCACCGACAAGCTCAGATAACCTAGGAAAAAAAGCTCAACAGTGACAGCATATCTTTTTTATCTTTTCTGTCAGATCTCCACATAATTCTTTAGGTCCCTGGATAGAGAATGGGGGCTTGGATTTTGTGTGTGATTCTTCATTAAGACTAAAGGTTGAAACTGCCTTGGTAAAGAGACCGCCCCAGGTGCCACAATGGAGTGCCTTTAAAGAGATGTTTTCAGTCCCGAAATGAGCGTCCAACTTGGCTGGCCAGCTTTACCACAGGCCTCTGTGAACCCAGACATCTTCCGTCTTTCTCCGTCTTGCCCTGGGACATTGTCCTCATCTGCCCGGTCAGAGCTGGCTGTAGGTACAAGCGTGACCCAGCTCTTCCAGAAGGGAGAAGAGAGGGTAGAGGAGAGTGCTCAGGGCTATTCAGGACAGACCAGAAGACACACAGAAATTCCACGGGCAAGAGTCCACTGGGGGCCACACCGAACTGCAAGGGAGGCTGAGAAGCACTATCCCACGTTGGGAATCTCAGCAGTCACGTATGCCCAGTTGGTCACTAGTTCAGGGCCAGGTGCCCAGCCATGTTGTCCAGTGTTGTCACCAGTGGGCAGGCATTGACGTGTGACTACTTGAATGGAAACAGGAAACTATGGCGCTCGGTGCACGAAACTTCACTAACACAAATATTTTGTGGTTAGCCGTTCTAGTAAGAATACCCTTGCTTCCTAAACTCTGTGACAGAGAAGTGAAGACTTTGAATATGTCATCCCAAGCATTTCAGAGTGATGTTTATGCCAAATTTATGGATGCCCATTAGTTTACGGTGGCGTAAAGCCAGTTCCAAATATGCCTTGAAGGAACATAGTAGCCTTTGAAAACTCTGAGAGCGTATTTGAGCGGTTGCTATTTACAGGTCAGGAATGAAATATAAAGGGCACCTCTTGTTAACTGGTTGCCAATCGAGATTTAATTTTATTATTTTTATGAAGAGATTGGTTGTGCCAGTCGATGGTATTTACTTTCACGGGTCAGCCTCACGCTGATGCCCTGGTAATGATGAGCTAGCTGTACCGGCCCCCAGACAAAGCAGCGTTTGTTGCCCCAACCCCCGATCACAGGTGGGGCCCCCTTAGCTACATCTGATGGCCTGACTACCAGGGCCCAGCGCCCTGACCATGGGGCCAGCAGGGGATCGGCCGTGTGAGGAGGTGGAGTTCTGCAGGACTGGAGTCTCCTTGGCATGCTCTGGCATGTTGTTAAAATCTCTAAGCATCTTTCTGTCTTTTGTTTTTCCAGCCATAGCTTTGTGTTTCTGACAACAGCCATGTAGTCTTGCATGAAATTGCTTGTTCCTCTGAAATAGTAGGGCACGGCCCAACCAATCCATGTAACGTACGGGGGTTTCATCTTGCATGGGAGGCCGTGTGACCGCATGGGTTTGTGATTTCAGGATGCTGTCTTCTAGCCGTCCGGGAAGGCCCCGGGAACTAGGTCGGTCTGTCTGTTGGTCTGTGAAGAGGAGTGTTACCCTGCAGTCTGGATGGCTCCTCATGCCTTTGACTCAGGCTGCCGCTGGCATTCCCACCCGGTGTTCTGTGGACACAGCAATAGTGAGGCATCAACCCCGCGTGGAAGCCTGTTGAGAAAGTTTTGTTGGATGGTGTCTGCCAGTTAGGATGGAAGCCCCAAAATAACACTGGCTTCAACAAGATAAGGATTTGGTTCTCTTTGGTCAACCACTGGGGGTGGTAAGTCCAGCATGTCGCTTCACCCAGCCAGAAATCCAGGCCAGGCGCCCCAGGGCCCAAGGCAGCTCTTCCGGCTCCGGCCAGCAGGATGGAGAAGGGAACAGCAGAGGGCGCCCTCCCTCCCTACTTCATCCCCTGGAGTTTCTCAGCAGACGCAGACACCATGTTTGCTCAAACCTCCTCCATCAGAACTTAGCCAGATGGCTACCCCTTGTAGCTAGCGACTCTGGGAAACATGCAGTCCTGATTCTTAAGGCTTAGATGTCCAGCTGAAACAAGGGTTCTATTACCACGTAGAAGAACAGGGGAGTGTGGCTTTTGAGCACAGCTAACAGTTGATGTCAGGGTGGTTGGTGTAAGTGAGGGGGGCGGAGCCCTGCTGCAGGATGTTCGCTGCTGATGCGGTGGGAGACCTTCGGGCTGACCCCTTTCTATGCCAGGCCTTGTCTTTGCTGCTTCTGAGCGGCCAGCTGAGTGGAACGCAGAAGGGCTGGTCAAAGGCTGCAGGGCAGGCAGCGCCGAGCTGAGACCAGGACTCAAGCTCACTTTTGTCTTGGGGCAACATTTGCTGGGTGAGGGCTCTTGGCAGCCCTTCTCCTTCACGTGTGCTAGATGATGAGTGAACACAATTGCCACACACATGTAAAAGGTTAGTTATTGATTATATAGAAAGAGACCGTTGAGAAAGACCTCTACATGTTTTGGTTTGCACCTCTAGAATGGATTCTGTGGTTATTTTGTGTTAATACTCTGCCACTGGCATCAGTAACACCCGATCTTAAAGGTTGAATTTAACTTTTTGAGTAGGTGACATACTACGTGGTTCATAATGCTTTAAAAAAAAGATTTACAATGCGTTCCTTTCTTCATCCACCTCATCTCCCACCCCCACAGGTAAACTTTCTAATTGTGTGTGTGTGTAAGCTTCCAGTTTCTCTCTGTGTAAGCACAAGCAAATGCAGATATGTATATTTTATTCCTTTTTTCTTGAACAAAACGCGGCATTCCGTATATATTGTTCTGTACCTTGCCTTCTTGCTTACTAGCATACCCTGCAAATTTTTTTTTTTTTTTAAATCAGGCCCTTGTTCGTTGTTATGGTTGCCCAGGGTCCCGGCACCTGGGTCCTCCTGAGGTCGGGGGTAGGTCCTCCTGAGGTGAGGTGCAGTACGAGGAGCAGGTGTGGCAGGGTCACAGTCAGCGGGGCCGGTTTTCGGATGCTCACGCGTGCCTTCACCCACGTTCTGTCACCTGGAGGGTTATCCAGTGTCTCCTGCAACTGTCCTGAGGAGCCGGGGAGGATGCCTTTTGTTTTGCCTCCTTCCTTTGCACTCACCCGTCCCCCTTGCTTCCTTCTCTCCACGCTTTTATTGTTGTGCGTGCTTTACCTGTCTGCGTGAGGAAGACACATTCCAGCCCTTCTTAGTCCTCTTTTGTGAGTTCACCTGTTTCTGGGATTTAATCCTGTATGCAGTTCCCTACACTTTCCACTTGCCCTGAAATGGGAATTTCAGGACTTTTCTAGGTGCCTCTGCCTCGTGGTGGCCTAAAGCTCATCTATCCATGATAGCATTCATTTATATATATTTTTTAATTTTTAAAATTTATTTTAGAGACAGAATTTTGCTGTGTTGTGCAGGCTGGGGTGCAGTGGCACAGGCTGGGGTGCAGTGGCACAATCATGGATCAAGGCAGCCTCAAACTCCTGGGCTCAAGCAATCCTCCTGCCTCAGTTTCCCAAGTAGCTGGGACTCTAGTCACATGCCACCACACCCAGCTAATTAGAAAAAAAAAATTTGCACTAACCCAGTCTCACTATGTTGCCCAGGCTGGTCCCTAACTTATGGCCTCAGGTGATTCTCCCGCCTCGGCCTCCCAAAGTGGGCATGCATTTATTTTAACGCAAGGCCATGTTGCTAGCTCTTGATGTCATAGGAGCTGAGTGGGGATCTGGAGGCTTTTCACTGCCTGTCTGTCACCCTGGCTGCCACAGGGGACCGAAGTGGGGCCCACAGAAGCCATTTTGACTTTTGAGCCCCCTCCTCTTTTGGCCTCCTCCTCCCCCTCTTGAGCCATTTGGTTGTCACCTGTTTTGTCTTCAGCATAGGCCACTGTATAACAGAAGCCGTTAGCCAGGGTGGGAGTGGGCAGCTGGCAGGGCCTGTGGCCTGAGAGGCGAGGGGGTTTGGATGAGGTGGGCACAGCTCCAGCCCTTTGCTGTCCTGTGGCCCTGCTGACTTGTCTGTCCTGGGCTGCTTGGGTTTCTAATTTTAGTCATACTTTAACACAACAAACTAAAATTTTGTTTGACCACAGTTTTTCCTACATCCATCACTTGTACATTTCTGGGGGTTTCCTCTTGTTACTGTTTATGGAACCACAGTAAACCCCACATGTACATGAGCTTTCTCATGCATGTACTTGCAGTGTCTTCATGGCAGTTTCTGTAACTGAGAGATGTGAATATCCTCTAGGAATTAGTAAGGCTTAATCCCTATTAGAAAGTTGGGTCCATCCTATCTGTCTGTCTGTTTTATCAGCCAGTCAGTAAATCCCACTGAAAGCAAAGTTCACCAAATGGGCTGCCCAGCCAACCTGAGGAACGTCAGTGTTTATAGGATTGGGAGCATTCTATAGGGTTTCTCTCTTCATGCTGATGAGGTTTAGGGCAAGTTGTCCTGTGCCGCTGGGCGGCTGTCAGTATGGTTGAGTGGGGGTGACAGGTGGGTGGTGAGCATCCTCTACGGCTCCAGGCCAGCCAGTGGGACCCTGGCACAGGACAGAAAGCCTGCGGCCCTGCGACTGGCAAAGATGTGGGAGTAGGGGGTGCCCTTCTTGAACCACAAGGAGTGCAGTTGCTTTTTGGGTGGCAGCAGAGGGCTGGATGCAGAAAGCTTAGGGTTACTTGGTGACCAGCAGGGGCTATGTGCCTTCTGACCAGGCGATGGTTGCCAGGGAAGCCACCTGCACTGACGGCGTGGTGCACCCCCAGAACGCGGCATGTGGGGGACTCAGACAGGCCAGGGCTTTGTACATCGCAGAACAGGGGCTTGAAGGACACCCGACGGGGCCCGGGGAGGGGCCATAGCGCCACACTGAACCTGGGCACCGTGTCTCAGAACGGGTGTCAGATTTATGGGACTGTTTTCTGAATGTTTAAGCAGCCTGCTTCTTCTGGACTCCTGGGTTGGTAAACTGTGCTGATTTTGCCTTTACATTCATCAGTGTAGCAAAGATGTGCTGAGACCCTCCCGTGGGCCAGAGCCCAGCTGTGCCTGGGACCCACACACCTGGCAAAAGCTGCGCCATCCTGGACTCCACCTTGTGCATACAGGCACTTAAGGAATGCCTTTGCTGACAGAGGCTTTTAGTTTAGCCTTAGCTTCTCTGGAATTATTTGTTTGGAGATTGAGTTCCTGGTAAATATGGGACCCGGCTATTTATTCCTGGTAAATATAGGACTGGCTGGCGGCTCTGCATCCTTCCTCCGAGGGTCCTGGGGAGAAGGGTGTGGGGCTGGCCGCGTGGCTGGTTTCTCCCCCATTTCCTGTTGAACTCCTGCCTCATAGTCCCCTCGTCTCCCTACCCTAGTCATTGTTTAGAAAGTGCTTCTGGAAAGGGCGATACTATGCAGCCTTGTGAGCCTGGGCCACGAACATCAGGGAGGCCTGTGCCCACGGAGTCAGCATGCTGTGGCTGGATTCGGCGTCTGAAGCCCAGGGCCTGGCAGCGGTAACAGGGAGGGCTGACTGCCAGGTGCCGCTCGTATCCGGAGATGAGCACAGCTGCTTACGCCAGACTGTGCAGCGAATGACGTGACATTTGTTTGTGGCTCTTTTTTCTAGTGACACAAAAGAAGGGAAGCCCGGTGTTGGTGGATTCATGCCCTTCGGGTTCTCTGGTGTCCTGTCGGGGGCAGCGACTTGCTTCTATGCCTTCGTGGGCTTTGACTGCATCGCCACCACAGGTATGCCCGCCAGCCCACTGCGGTCCCGGGTCCTCCTGCATCCCGGGCAGACAAGCCAATGCTGCCCACGGCTTGTCATTTCCCTCCTTGCTGGCACGGTCCGGTCGCCACTCTTTCACACATGAGTGACGTGTAGATTTGTAGTTTCCTGCCAACCCCTCCCACCCTCAAACCATCATCACATCCCCAAGTGTCAACGCCTGATGGAAGCTGCATCCTGAATGAGGCTAAGGTTCCGCTGTTAGAATGGGATCATAGCTGCGTGGCTGTGGCCTGACTCCTTATCTGAGCATCTTCCGGGAGGAGTGAGGCCATTCACAACATTGTCATCCTGGTGGACTGAACAGGCCAGATTTCCTCTGCCAAAGGAAGCAAGTCTCTTCCTTGGCCGCACCGCCACATTCAGGCCGAGAGCGCTGCTGCAGGGCCACGGGCTGTCGGCTGTGTCTTCCTGAGCACCACCCCTCCGCTCCTGGAAGCACAGGAGGCCCCAGTGCCACAGGGCCAAGCGCTGGGGGGAGGTTTCCCGTAGTGTTGCGTGGGTTCCCTGGCACTGAGAGGCCTTGGGTGTCACGTGGGCAGATGCGCTGCCTCTTGCTCTGTGCCCTCCTCTGCTAACCCCTTGGTGCTTCTAGGTGAAGAGGTGAAGAACCCGCAGAAGGCCATCCCTGTGGGGATCGTGGCATCCCTCCTGATCTGCTTCATCGCCTACTTCGGGGTGTCGGCCGCCCTCACGCTCATGATGCCCTACTTCTGCCTGGACAATAACAGCCCCCTGCCCGATGCCTTTAAGCACGTGGGCTGGGAAGGCGCCAAGTACGCAGTGGCCGTGGGCTCCCTCTGCGCTCTTTCTGCCAGGTGAGAGGCCTTTCTGTGCTGGCTGCTCCTAGGGGTGGAACCACCGCAGGGCTTAGGCTGTAGCGGACCAGGTACAGCCGTGCGAGACACACGTCGGCTGCCAGCATTCTTTACCCTTGAAATAGACCGAGCACCCAACCTCGCCTTGATCAGGTGACTTTCCCCTTGTCAATATTCATCATCCCAAGAGTTGTGTTACTGAGATTTTCATTCTGAAGAACCTGAGGCTGGCTTTTCAGCATCATCTGCTTAGCAAGGGACTGGCTCTCTGTCCCTAAATCTGGTCCCTGGAACAGGCTCCCTGTTTGAACACCATAGTTTGGCCCTCAGTTTGGCTGTCATGCAGAAGCTACTTTGAAGAAGGGAATAAATGCCTTTTAATGAGAAACATTTTCACCAATGTATTTCCTCTTAGCCTGTATAAACAGAGCTATTTGGTAAATATTGATTTACCACGGGGAAATCTTCATGAATGCAGTGATGCTTGTATTTTCTGTTTGATTCAGCTAGAAATAATTGCAGGAATAAATACAGTTTTCCATCTGTAAAGACGGTGCTGGGTCTCATGCTAGTGTGTGTTAGATAGATGTTCCCTACTCTTTACCTTAACCCTTACTCACAGTGTGTGCTCTTTCTGGGGTTGATTTATTAAATGCCAAGTCTTTTAGCCACAGGCCTCACCCAGCGTGGAGGGATGGCAGCTCTTGGTGAGCTCAGACTCCCTCTCCTCTGTGGTAAACTGAGCATGGATGGATGTGGTGCCTTTATCCCTTATGAGCCAGGTTCACTCACGTGGTTTGCCTCTCCCCATCTAGCCTTCTAGGTTCCATGTTTCCCATGCCTCGGGTTATCTATGCCATGGCTGAGGATGGACTGCTATTTAAATTCTTGGCTAAGGTCAATGATAGGACCAAAACACCAATAATCGCCACACTAGCCTCGGGTGCCATTGCTGGTGAGTACTAGAACTCATTTCACATGTCAATATTTTACCAGTGGAGTCATGACTCCCTAGGGAGGCATCTTGCCTTGTTCTGGTCTGTGAGTAATCTCACCTGGTCTTTTTAACTCCTGGGTTTTATACTTGGAGCCTGGTTCATTGCAAGTTGACTGACCTTTTGACAAAAGGCAGAGGCCAGTTTGACAGAGGATGGGAGAGAATTTTCGAACAGCTTGCACTCTGGTTTTCATCTCATTGGGCAGAGCTTAGAACACACAGTATTCCCCCAAAACCCTTCCCCCCCATTTCTGGACATTTCCCTGAGTAGTCAAGGGCAGGCTGACACCTTCCTGCATGACACAGGCCAAGGGAGACCTCGCCAGCACCTGGAAATTCGGCATCCAGTTCTGAATTCTCTGGAAAATAAGTGTCCCTGATGATCAGTGTTTTATGAAATGTGCCGCCCCTTCCCCAGAGAGTATCAAGGGTGCTGCTGATGAAGCCACTTGCCGCTAAGTTTATACGTAACAGCAGACCCAGTAGAGCTTCATCTTGTCAGATGAGCATCATTGCTGAGAGGATCATTTTGATGGATGACTAATCTGAGCCATGTGGGTGTTCCAGGGCCATAGATGATGTAAAGGAGAACCCAAAAGGAAGCTCACGTGCACACTGTACCTGTGGTTTTATGTCTCCTCCTTTCGCGGTTGCATTTCATAGCCCCGAAAGGCAGACGCCAGCCCACCGTACAGATGTAGAAGTGGAGGCCCAGGGAGGTGAAGTGAGGATGTGCACCCAGGACGGTGGAGCGGCCTTATGATTCCAGGATTGTTTTCATGCCAAAGTAGCCAAGCTCCTTCCAGGGTCTGAGCAGAGCAGTGGGTCTTTTTGGCAAATTGGGGCATGTGATATCAGTCATAGTTTCTAACACAGCAACTTGTCAAGTAGCCATTGGTAAGGCCCTTGACCTTCTTAAATGAATGAATTATTCACTAAGTTTTATTAGCATTCATGCCTTTAGCAAACTGTGCTTAGTTTTGTGGATTAATATTATGTAATAAAACAAACCTATTTTTAAATTATGAAACTTTTTTTTACATGATTCTATGTTCTTGAGAGTGACCACAGTGGTCACATTGAGAGGCACTATACATCAGAATGTGACCAGTATATTTACAGGATTAAGGATTTGGAAATAGTCATTGTTTTCTCAGGCTTTACCCGGAATTTGATCATGTTCAAGACTGGCCTTAATTTCCTTCCCCTGTTGATAGAGGGAGATCAAATCATGCTCTTTGAAGGGACTGTGAAGTACGTGCCATTCACAAAATCCAGGATTTACCCTTTTCATTTGGTGGGAGTGGTAAATAAGTATTTGATTTTCTAAAATCACCTCACATGGAAGAAATTAGTCTCAAGTTTCCCATGAGTAGGAACATCGGCATCTGTGGCATGCACAGTTGGGTGCTGTTCTGATTATCCAAAAGGCCCTCCCTCATTGCTCTTTAATTTTATGTTTTATTCTCCATTTAAATTTGTTTTAGTTGCAGTGATCTAGAGGGGCTTGAGAGATATTTGTGGAAAAATAATGGTTTTGTGTTTATATTTTAGCTTGTGTTGATTGCATGTGTTTTGAAAATATCCCAAAGCAGATCTAGCCAAGTTGTTTTTTAATGAGTACTTGACATACACACCCACATGCATAGACATGCATACTCTCCCAAAACTCACAAAAGATGTTCAAATAAGGGTGCAGGTTTTCATTCATTTTAAAGGCCAGGGACACGGTGAAGGGGCTGATACTATATTGTTTGAGAACAGCTCTCCAGATTTCTTCCATGTGAGTGACTTCACATGTGAAGAACTCTGCTCTTCTGGTCACCTGCCTGGGTTAGGACCCCCTGTGAGTCCCCCCAGAGCACCAGACCTGCCCTTCTTTATCACCCAGCACTGTTGCCCACTGATGCCTGTGTCTTGGTGGGGTACACTCAGAAGGCTGGGGACTGTGGTCTGCCCTGTTTAGTAGTGAGTACCTAAAACCCAGTGATGGGCACATTCTCACCAGAGCTGGATGGATGGAAGATGGGTAGATGGATAGATGCTGAATAGATGGACGGGTGGATGGGATGGATGAATGGATGGATGGATAGATGGATGGATGAGATGGATGGAAGATGGGTAGATGGATAGATGCTGAATGGATGGATGGGTGGATGGGATGGATGAATGGATGGATGGATAGATGGATGGATGGGGTGGATGGGATGGATGAATGGATGGATGGATAGATGGATGGATGAGATGGATGGAAGATGGGTAGATGGATAGATGCTGAATGGATGGACGGGTGGATGGGATGGATGAATGGATGGATGGATAGATGGATGGATGAGATGGATGGAAGATGGGTAGATGGATAGATGCTGAATGGATGGATGGGTGGATGGGATGGATGAATGGATGGATGGATAGATGGATGGATGAGATGGATGGAAGATGGGTAGATGGATAGATGCTGAATGGATGGACGGGTGGATGGGATGGATGAATGGATGGATGGATAGATGGATGGATGAGATGGATGGTAGATGGATAGATGCTGAATGGATGGACGGGTGGATGGGATGGATGAATGGATGGATGAATGGGTAGATGGATAGATGCTGAATGGATGGATGGGTGGATGGGATGGATGGATAGATAGATGGATGAGATGGATGGAAGATGGGCAGATGGATGAGATGGATTGATGGATGGTGAGTGGATGAATGAAAGATGGGTGGATAGATGGATTGATGGAGAATGGATGGATCGATGGGATGGATGATGGATGGATGCACGTGAGTCTGTGAATCAGCATGGTCTAGAGGAAGACACACAGGACTCAGAGTCATAAGAACCTAGTTCACATCCTTATACCTATGCTTAAGAGCTGTGTGATCTTAGATAAGTCTCCTAACCTGTGTGAATGTTAACATCTGTAATGTAAGGATGGCTTACAAAGTTGCCATTAAAATCACAAGAGCGAAGGTATTCTGTATACAAATGTTAATGATTATTACTGTCTATTGAGGACTGTGTCTGTGATTTAATCACAAGCTTAAAGGGAAGCTTGACTTCCCTTTAAGCTGTGTCTTTCTGTGGGAAGGCCAGGAAGAGGGTGGGAGAAAAAGCAGCTCCCTTTGGTGCCCTGGATGGTAGGTGGTGGTGGTCCTGGTTGTCCGTGCATGCAGACGGTCATCCACAGATCCTGGTGTCTGTCTCTTCCCAGCTGTGATGGCCTTCCTCTTTGATCTGAAGGACTTGGTGGACCTCATGTCCATTGGCACTCTCCTGGCTTACTCGTTGGTGGCTGCCTGTGTGTTGGTCTTACGGTATGTATGGCTTTTTGGGGTTTCATGACAGAAATGCAGATGCACCTGGTAGCCTTTTCACAGTTCCGCTATGGTTTATGTGATGAATGAAACTTTTAGGTTGGTGATGGCTCCAGTGGGAGCTGCCAAGGAGAGGGGAGGACCTGGGTTGAGAGCCCAGTTAGGAGGACGTCCTTGGCAAGAGTTGGGTGGCCCCTCACCCCCCTCTATCGTGTGCCCTCATTTTTATGGCTAGATGTTGGGTGGATAGAAATAGATTCTCGGCCCAACTATTAGGCCAGGATCCTGGGATCAGAATTTTTGAAGACTGATTGCAACTTGGTTCAGATTCTTGGGACAGAGAGGATTGAGGGCTGCCCTGGTAGGAGTTAGGGAAACCCAAGGCCTGTGAAACCCAGGTCAGCGTAATGCTTCTGCAGCTTCGTTGCACTGTGGCTGGAGGAATGAATCCCATTACGTGGCATGGGGTGCCCTAGGTTGATGTTCAGGGACACTGTGGAGTCGGCTTGTTGTGGCCTGGTTGGGGCCAGGCAAGCCTCTCGCAGTCACAGTAAAGCTGCTCTGGGCCTGGGCTTTGTGCCTCGGTGTTCTCACCTGCCCCAGCGCCCACTCCCAAAGCGCATCCCTGGGCAGCTGGCATCCTGAGAACCGGAGCTCATGGAGACACTCAGCACTGGTGTGCCCTCAAGAGCCTGCTCCTTTCTTTTCAGGGATTCCCACCTGCCAGGCCATTGATTGCATCTCCAAGGTGCTCAGCAGCCGATGCCCATAAAGCCCGAGCTGAGCCTCAGCAGAAGCCCTGTAGAATCAGCTAAGACTATTGGGGACCCCTTATTCTTCCCAACAGGCCCAACACTAGAAGATTCTCTGAGGTCCCCCACTTTCTTAATTGACCGAGTGGTGCTGCACAAGCGAATCCGTACAAAAATGGTTAATATCTTTATACTCCCTCTTAGAATTGATCATATGCAAAATAATTCATACAGCACTCTGCTTTTCAAAGCTGGTGGAAAAGATGTGCACTCTGTTCACTTTGGGTGGGAAGATAAGCCACCTCATTCAGAACGGATGCTCCACTGGCAGGTAACTCATGTCTTGGAAATCATGCTGCAGGCTCGGCCCTCCGACCAGCCGCACAGAATTATTTACTCCGAGGTACTTGGAGTTTTAAAATAAATTGATCCAATTAAGGCACGCAAACAGAATTTCTCAAATCCATCAGCCTGCAGCCGCATTTCTCTGGCTCTCTGTGCCAAATAGGATCCTGGCGTTACTGCTTTCTATTTCTCTCCTTCCTTTTTGCTCCCTACAGCAGTAATTTTGTGGGAAGTGGCCTAATATCTTTAGCATCTGAGGGCCACTGCCACTTCTCAGAGCAAGAGAGATCCTCTCAGGGTATTCCTCTGGGCTGCTCATGGTGGAGGTCATGTCACCCCGAAGCAGAGACCGTGGGGGATGTTCCCCAGAAGCAACAGTGGGAGGTGGTGTTCCCGGTCTCTCCTCGTCTGTCTACAACGCAGCATCTGACTATATCCTTCCCATTTTATACCTTGTGTCCCGGGCAGCTAACTTTGGAGGCTTATTGAGAACTTGAGTTGGTGCATGTCCTTTTGCTTGAAGTGGATGATGGTGGTCACACAATACCTTTCTTTCCAGGTATCAGCCAGAGCAACCTAACCTGGTATACCAGATGGCCAGTACTTCTGACGAGTTAGATCAAGCAGACCAAAATGAGCTGGCCAGCAGCAATGATTCCCAGCTGGGCTTTTTACCAGAGGCAGAGATGTTCTCTCTGAAAACCATACTCTCGCCCAAAAACATGGAGCCTTCCAAAATCTCCGGGCTCATTGTGAACATTTCAACCAGCCTCATAGGTGAGAGCTAGCCCTTCCCTGGGGCCTTGCTTGTTGGCATTGCATGGTGTCTAGGCAGTGGAGCTGGAGCTGGGGGAAGGTGCCAGAGAAGATGAGCATCTGTCTCGCTCCTGGACTGGGACATAGTTGCTCTGTGCTAACTGAAGTTGATGCCTTCGGAAATGGAGCCTCTCTCACCACAAGTTGAGGGGAGAGCAGCGGATGCCAGTGGGAAGTTGAGAAATGGTTGAGTTGCAGCTCGCTCTGTCTTTTCCTTCCCCCTTAGCTGTTCTCATCATCACCTTCTGCATTGTGACGGTGCTTGGAAGGGAGGCTCTCACCAAAGGGGCGCTGTGGGCAGTCTTTATGCTCGCAGGATCTGCCCTCCTCTGTGCCGTGGTCACGGGCGTCATCTGGAGGCAGCCCGAGAGCAAGACCAAGCTCTCATTTAAGGTGAGCAGCTCGGCCTGGGGGAGGAACCCTGGCACACAGACCCTGGCCCTCCTGCTGCCGGGCCAGCCTTGTGTGGGCTCAGCCGGGTCTGGGTGCTCCTGAGGAAGGTATTTGTCAGCCAGCTTCAGGTAATGTGGGGCAGGGGCACTGAAGGCACACAGAGGACCAGACCCTGGAAGGAGGCAGCAGCCCTCCTCCCCTGGACGTTTCCCTGAGTAGTCAAGGGCAGGCTGACACCTTCCTGCATGACACAGGCCAAGGGAGACCTCGCCAGTACCTGGAGGTTCGGCATCCGTTTCTGAATTGTCTGGGAAACAAGCGTTCCTGATGATCAGTGTTTTGTGAAATGTGCCGCCTCTTCCCCAGAGAGTATCAAGGGTGCTGCTGCTGAAGCCGCTTGCCCCTAAGTGTATATATAATAGCAGACCCCGTGGAGCCGTCCCTCCGGGGCGGTGCGACGCTTCTCGTAAATGTCTGCTCAGGTTGATCGCATGAGTTGTCCAAGCCTGAGAGATGGGCAAGGCCTCTGCATTTTTAGATTACAGAAATAATAAAAAAGGTTGTTGACCTGAGAGGTAAAGTGGAGGTCTGTCTTCTAGTCCTTTCTTTAGCAGGAGAATCGCAACAGAGGAAAATTAGAATGGAGCTCACTTGGCCATTCAGAGCTTAGAACCAAATCCCCACCTACTAAGATTTACCCTTGGGTGTGTTTGTGTGTGTGTTTGGGTGCGGGGTGTGTGTTGGGGGGTGGGGGTGGGCACTCCCTCTCTCTTCCCCACGCTCGCCCGACAGTCCCCGTCACTCTCAGGTGTGCTGCCTTTTGCTAGACAGTTTTACTGAAGTGTTGGAACCGGCGCCACTGCCGTGGACTGACACTGCCTCCTGTCTCTGCAGGTTCCCTTCCTGCCAGTGCTCCCCGTCCTGAGCATCTTTGTGAACGTCTATCTCATGATGCAGCTGGACCAGGGCACCTGGGTCCGGTTTGCCGTGTGGATGCTGATAGGTATGTGATGCTGCCGCTAGCATCTCTCGGGAGCCTCCCTTGTTTCAGATTTCATAACAGAATGACGCACATGCAGTCAGCAGCTTTCTCGAAGGTGATGCTGAATCTCTGGGAGGCTGTGAGTCCTCTCCTCCCTGTTAGATACGTTTTGTTTTCATTGCCTCTTGCCCAAACTATTTATTCCATTGGGCAAGACCTTGGTATTCACAGGAACAAAGTGATGAGTCTGCTGCAGATAAGGTACCAGTTATTTTCACCCCGGGCAGGAAAGTCTGGCTTGTGCCTCCCGGCCCCCCGCCTGCCCAGCACCAGATTGGCATGGGCACTAGGCCCAGGCAGGGGTGGGTGTCATGGGCTCTCTGTGATGGCATCGTCTCTGTGGAAGGAGAGTGCTTTGGAGCCTATGGGAGATGCCACTGGGCTAAGGGGCTCCCACATGAGATAGATCACCAGGGGTGGGTGCAGCCTGTAGGGCCAGCCGAGTCCCACCCCTCTGGACGTCTCACCCCAGGGGCTGGAGGGGAGGGACCCATTTCCTTCCCTTCAGCATCCGAGTCGTAGTGCTGATAGCCAGGAGAGTGGCCCTGGCCGTTGCCCCTCAGGACCATGTCCCTACAGCCTCGCGGCCCCGGGTTTGCATGCTGCGGGCAGATGGCTGCTGCCTCATCTCCCAGGACCCTCGAGGGGTACTTTTCCTCCAGGAAGTACTTGGCGGCCTCTTGTCTGCTGGCACCAGGGGGGGTCCTCATTCTCTGCAAATCCAGCCCATATCTAGTTAGACAGACGTCTCCTAGAGCCTTTCTGAGAAAAAACTGCTCACGGCCCACTGGCCAGTTCCTCAAGGCCTGGTGAAGGCAGAGGCTGCCTCTTCCCAGCATCCCTGTCGAAGCCCCTGTGTTTGGGAGCCTGAGCTCCTTTCCTGGGCGCTGGGTGGCTGAGTCCTTGCTTTCAGGCCTCTTTACTGTGTCAGCCACACAAGGTGGCCCCAATTACCTGGGGCCATCTGGCCACGTTCCCTGGGCAGATGGTTAGAAGCGTAGGTCCTGGACCCACCCCAGAGTCCTGGGCACAGGAACAGACTGTGGACTCCTGTGTGAAGTCCGTTCTCGGGGCTCGGTGGCTCCTGCAGTCTGATGGTCAGTTACGTGGAGGAAACGGGCAGTGGGACCGTCCAGGCTGAGAGCCTGGAGACCTCCAGCGCTTGCGGGAAACCCCATCTCCATAGTGCACATTCGCAAAACTCTCGTGGCCTCAGGGGGCATCAGGGGGTTAAGCTGAAGGCCCGACGGCTTCGGTGGCTCTGGCCCAGCTGCTCTGTCTGCTCAGGAAATGCTGCAGCATGAGGCTGTCCAGAGGAATGTGGGGCTTTGCCAGATGTCACAGTGGCCTTCGTGTGGCAGCTGCTCCAGATGTGGAAAGGTCACAAGGGCTGCTGGCTGCGGGCTCATGCCAGGCAGGGGCAGGCTGCCTGAGCGGGTTTGCTGCGGGGCTGCCCTGGGCTCCCAGCCCTGCCTGCGGTGGTGCAACCAGCGCTCTGTTCACGCCCGTCTCTGCTGTCGGCCCGCAGGCTTCATCATCTACTTTGGCTACGGCCTGTGGCACAGCGAGGAGGCGTCCCTGGATGCTGACCAAGCAAGGACTCCTGATGGCAACTTGGACCAGTGCAAGTGACGCACAGCCCCGCCCCCCGGAAGTGGCAGCAGCTCCGAGGGACGCCCCCAGAGGACCGGGAGGCACCCCCCGCTCCCCACCAGTGCAACAGAAACCACCTGCATCCACACCCTCACTGCAGCTGAAGGTGCAATTACTTGAACTGCAGCCCCAACCCACCCTCGGCTCTGCAGCCGGCTCTCCAGGTCCTGGTCACCTCCAGACAGCTGCTTGGCTGGGGCCACTAGGCTGCAGCCGGCCACTGTGTCTCCTCACTTCTCTGAACAAACAGTTCCTCCCCTATCAGCTCAGCCCGGATCTGCCACAGCCTCAGGCAGAACGGAGGTCACCTTCTCTCCTTATCTTGGGAACCAGGCCTTCCTCCCCGGGGACTGTTCTGGGATTGAAATTGTGCATACTCCAAACTTTCGCAGCCATCTTCCCGCTCAGCCCCAGACACCCAGCAATCAAGCCAGATGAGTACCACAAAACAGTGTGTCCCCAGCAGCTCCCCACCCTTAGAGCCAAACGACAGTAGTGCGCTTAAAAAGGAAAATCAGGCCTGTTGTCCTTCTCCCGTTGCGTTCAGATGGGTCATTAGGGCTGGACCTTGCCTGCCCCTCAGCTTCTCAGGGCTTTGCTCTGACACCGTGACTGGCTGGTCAGCGGGGCTGGGGGCAGCTGGTTCCTCTCAAATGAGGAAGAAGGGATCGCTCCCATTAGGGCCTGCTCTGCTTACGCATGTGTGTGCACAGGTATGTAAACCAGGGACCTTCCTCAGCTCGTGGCCTCCAGGCCTGGGCCAGTTCTTGCTGCTCCTGCCGTCTTCTCTGACTGGCTGTGTCCTGAGTAACTGGAACATGAGACTGTATCTGCAGGACTGGCCTCACGGCGGCCAAGTTAGAAGCGTGTTTCCTGTGCGTCGCCGCCATTCGCTCAGTCTTACCCTCCCATGCTTTAGAGCCAGTCTGGTGGCTCTTGGAAAGTTCTCAAGGCTGGTGGCAGCTCAGTGCGGGTTTAGGACATGTCGGGGGCATGCGTTTCTGGCCCTGACATGAGCTGTCTGGATTCTCTGTGACGTGATGAAACTGAAATCAATCCACAGTCCATGAAATTGTGACTCACTCCCCCAGATTAAGTTAGGGCATAACATGAACGTGGAAATGACCACGTCATCACCCCTGTGGCTGGCGTATTGCTGAGATGTGTGGTTCGTAGGGGAGATGATTTCCAGGCATATTGCTGTCCCTTTTGTGTATCTGTCATCCGGATGCTTCGTACCCCACGCCTCCACAAGTGGGACAGACCCGAGCATCCTCCCCGCCCCCATAGCTACAATGCACTCCACCCCGGCCTGTCTTACCCAGGTCGGGGCCTGCAGCCAACACCATTTCACGCACACTCCTTGTAGATGGAAGCCAGAGGAAAGCTGAACGTGGGGGGAGCATTCCATTGAGAGTCGACTTCAGGAGACAGAAGGCCCATGCTGATGGGGCAGGGAAAGGGAGGTAGGCATTTTGGGCGCCAGGGGAAATGGAAATGTTGCTTTCAAAACTTGGTTTCCTTTCCATTTCTTCCTAGTCTGGCCTTTGACACAAATCTGGTAGAAGCCTGATAAATTGAGGGCACTTGTGTCCTCCTGTGCCCCCAGAAGATTCTCGGAGAGAAGTGCAAGAATTTGTGAACACGCCAGTGGAGGGCAGGTGGGCAGCCATGGGCTGGGCCTCCATATCAGGCCTGCTCACCTTGCTGGGAGCTTTATTCTGATGTCATTTTGAATGGTCCAGAGGGAGCATCAAAAGAGCCCAAAGCTCCGATTTCCAAAGAGAGGTATTGACATTTATATAGATTGGTGCTGTAACATATTTTGATAAATACTAACTTATTTTGTTGGGGTTTTGGTTGTCTCTTGTCTTAGGACCTGGTAGTTATTTGCTTGATTTTTTTTTTTCCGTTATTTTCTACATAAGCAAAGAGAACTCGAGGGATAGACAGTCTCCAAGAAAAGTGAAGTGGTAGGAGAGAATTGCTTTTTTTTGTTTTTTCTTTTTCTCTAGTTTTTCTTTCTGGCTGAAATTTCTGTGAAGATAGCACCCAATAGACTATGTAGAGTTGACATTTGACATTTCAGTGGGCGCCGTGAATCATTCTGTAGATTGAGAAGGTGTGTCTCCCCTGCTCCGTCTCATGAGGGCTCACTGACAGCTGGGAGTCTGTGGCCTTCCTCACACAGAGGCCTTAAAGCTCGATGCGGAAGCACGCCTAGGCTCGGCAGGGATGGGACCCCCCCGCGCCCCCTCCTTAGAGGACGGGCTTCCTGGTTAGGAAAGGACACGTGGAGGTGCCTTGCATAATAGTTCACTGGTCACTGTGCTTTTATGAGTAGTTTTTTGTGCAGTTGCCAGGGGGTTTCTCTGCTGTGTGCGAGGGGAGTAATTTAAGCAATGGTGTCTGGAGTAAGCCTCACAATTTTAATAGACTTTTTTCTTATCACATCCCTCAGTTCTTTCCCTGAAATAAAAATACAAGCAAACACATTGATAGTTTCACATCTCTTAGTTCCCTTGCCCAGACAAGAATATTCTTAGTTCCGCTGGCCAGGATTTTCCTACATAGTCAGAACTTACACATTACTAGAGGCACACCCGCTAAGGGAGTATTGTGTCTACTTTTATCTGTGCACCAGCCACAAATAAATACCCTCATTGGAAAGACCCATTTGTGATGGGTAAACATCCCTTCCTGTCTGTCACAACCCCCGTGACTGCCCTGCATGTGTTCATGACCTCTGAAGGCCCAAATTCATGAAGCAGTAAACCCAGCAGATCCCCAGCCCGCCTGCCTCAGGACCTCTGCTGAAGACAGGGATGAAGAGGGTCTCCAGGGAGGCAGCAGGGGCCTTGCTGGCAGCTGGCTCAGGAGCCGGCTTACAGGAGGGCAGCTCTGCAGTGGGGAGGAGCGCCGTCCGGAGGAGACCAGGCCTCTGCATGCCCCCCACTCTGCTTACCATCCCTGCTCACACCCCCTTGGCCAAGGCTTTGTGCAGCAGATTTAATTTTCCAAATGAAGAGGACAGAGTGATAGATGCATTTTCCCCAGGCTGTCTCGGAAAGGTCGCTAAATGTATACTGTTAGAATTGCTGAGATCTCCCCCCACTTTTGGTTTTTGCAGCAGCAAAAACTCTCTCTCCACTGCAACTTCTTTTATCTCTCTCAGGCAGCCAGCTCCCTGGTCCCTTGTGCTGACTGTAGTACAGTGGCCAAGAGCTGATACGAAGTCAGGGGTGACCGCAGGACGGTGGGCTCAGTGGGCTTCTCCACCTACCCCAGTCGCCAAGGCCCTGACGCACTCCCTCCTGCACCGTCAGCACATCCATGTGCACAGCTGGAAGGGTGCATGGCCCGCCTACCTTTGTCCAGACGGGTGGAAATCTGATGATGCCAGCTCCTCCCTGCCGTGCCCCTGCCGCGAGCAGGCATTGTGAACTGGCTGGTGTTCGCAGTCCCACGTGGGTGTGGTCTGCAGCCCAACCCATGGTGGAGACTGGAGACAGAGCAATGAGTCCTGGTGGGGGGCACGTGGACATGCCCCACAGGGGCCTCACTCAGGCTTATAGGCAAGGTCCTGGGCACTGCGTGACGCAGCACTCACTGCTAAAGCAAGCCCACCTGGCTCTGTGCCAGGGCCCCTCTTCTGATTCACACGTCACATTTTTACGCAGACCCTTCCTTCTTAATAAAAGCTGACAGTTCTGTTGGCACCCAAGAACCCACACCGTGAAGACAGGGAGTGAGGGGCCTTTGTGCCCAAGCCCAGCACAGCTGTGTTCTGGGGTGCGTGAGAGGTATGTTCGTGTCCGTGCGCTGCTGGTCTTCTGACACAGTTCCGAGGACAGGGAAATTGCTGGGTGGCGGGGCTGTGGGGCTCGTATGTGGAACTGCTGCAGAGTTCGCCGGCAGACGGATCTGGATATATGTTATGTATAATTGTTATGTGTAATTTAAGATATATCTGTTTGCCATCGTCATAAGATTATATGTAAGACTCTTAAGGGAGAGGGAGATGTACATTCTGCCAGGCTCCTGTGGACTTTGTTTGAGTCATGAAATTGATTACTGTTGATCCAGTGGTGTGAGAAGCTACACTCCATGTGTCATCACGCTTATGACTCCTAATGGATTTTTAAGGCAAAAAATGCCAGCCGACTCCATCTTCACCCCCCGATTCCTCGAGTCCAGCCTTTCTGTGCCAGTGCATCCCTGAGCCACAATGCTCTCGCCATCGGGACCCGGCTGGGCCTGGAGTCTCGGGGCACAGTTACCATGGAGCCCTCCTGGGTCATTCTACACATGTGCTGAGTGCCAGCTGAAAGCCCCACAGGAGATGGAGTGCCTTGGCCAAGCTTAAAGAGAAGATTTTCTCAGGGTATTTATTAGTGTGTCCAGCAGGGTCAGGAAGCAGGGATGGAAAGATGCATTCAGACTGTTAATTTATTAACAAGGCAAATGGTTTTGTGTTTCTTGATGACAAGCTATTAAGTTTGGGACTTATTTTCCCATTTGAGAAGTTATATATTTAAGATAAGTTTCCTGCTTAAGTTGTGCCTTTCAGCTTCAACGAGTTTAAGGAGCACTAAGGGTAATGATACCAATGAGGGTTGGTTTATTATCAAACCTGAATAGCTGTGGTTTCTCCGATAAATGTTTTCTTCTACTGAACATGGAGCCATTATTAAGAGTTGTATGTTTTTTATTATGTACATTTGTATATTTTTTTGCTTGTTTGATGTTCTATTTTTCTAATAGTTTTCTTAGAGTTTCTTAAAGTTGTGATACTAGATTTAGATTCCGATGCTAACTGCAAATCAGGTTGGTCTCTGCTGGGTCTCTCCTGCTTTTATTTTCCTTTAAGGACAAGTGTAGTTGTCATCCACCACCTTTCAAAACATGTGAAACTGCCCTGCCTCCCCTTTTTGCTAACAACCCTGTGTACATTGACAACTTCTTTTATGTTGTAAAATCAAACTATTTTGTGGTACATTATCTCGCGCTTCCGCAAATTCTAATAAATTCTGTGGCTTCCATGTGCACGGCGTGATCTCAAGAATCCTGGCGGGTCTCTGCTGGGACTCAGGCGTGGGTCCAGATCCCACTCTGCTTCCCCACAGCCCATGACTTTAGTCCCATCTTCTCTTTCCTGTAGCCATTTGGGGGAAATCCTTATTCCAACAATTTGAGCCTCAACCAGAGAATCCCTTGAGCCCCCATTTTGGATGCTCTGATACTGTCTGCAGATTTATTTGGCTTTGGGGCCACAGATGTCTTCTTTCCAACCAAGCTGTTGGGGTAAAGCAGCTCAGAGGCTGTCAGTTGTCAGGCATTTGCTGAAAGACTTGGTCTCCGGCAACAAACCGCCCTCGCCCATTGCCACCGCAGCCTGTGCTGGCCTGCACACACACACCATCCTGACACACACACCATCCTGACACACACCATCCTGACACACCCCATCCCGACACACACCCCATCCTGACACACCATCCTGACACACATACCATCCTGACACACACCATCCTGACACACACCCCATCCTGACACACCCCCCATCCTGACACACACCATCCTGACACACACCCCATCCCGACACACACCCCATCCTGACACCCCATCCTGACACCCCATCCTGACACCCCATCCTGACACACACCCCATCCTGACACACACCCCATCCTGACACACACCCCATTCTGACACACACCCCATCCTGACACACCATCCTGACACACACACCATCCTGTTAGAGGGAGCAGAGTGTATGCAGGGCAGAGGGGCTGTGGGGAGTGTAGCTGTCCTGGTAATTGTTACTCTCTCACTCCCTCAACTCCCTTGAGAAAGGATCCATTTTTTTGCATTGGAGGCAAATGTAGTCAAGTGGGCCTTAATTCCAGACAGTAAAAGGCAGGGATTTACAGCGGCTCTACCAGAAGATCTGCTGCCCGGAAGATAAGGTTTGACCTTTGAGTTTTGTCAGCTGATGGATGGTGCTGAAAGCAGATACCCAGGGAGCTGTGCGGAGGGGAGGGCAGGCGAGCTGCTCTCCCGGCCCCAGAGTGCCTGTGATCTGGAATGTGTGACGAGCATCTGCACCTGAGAGCATCATGCACATTTCGTGTTCCTTGGCCACACAGAAAGCCAGACCACAGAGCTTGCGCGGTGGGGAAGCAAGACTGCGCAGCGTGCCCCTGGGACACAGGGTGGGCGTGGTCTCTGGCCCAGTGTAATTACTGCGGGAGGTTCTGCTGATGCAGAATCTGATTCACAAAAGGGCCAGCTTCGCAAAGCGGCCCAGAGAGCCTGATAGATTCCAGAATTGGGAAATAAGCACGGGACATACCTTGTTCCTGGATTTTTGTCTGTGTGTGTTCTCTAGGAAGGCGACCTCTGGTCCCTAAGGATGACTTTGAGCCAAGTGCAAGGTGGACCCCAGTTCCTGCAGCGCCACACTGCCACCTAGTGGCTACTGCTTGGTGCCGCACAGGCAGCTTGAAAAGGCCATGCCAAGTCTTTCAGCAGTTTCTTCGAAAACCCTGACCGGTGGCTCCTCAAGGCGCCGTGGGGCGATGCCAGGCTGGAGGCTTGAGGGGCACCACCTGGAGAAAGTTTTTCCTTGCACAGTTTGGTTATGAAGCACCTCTGGTCATTCAAAAGCTGCTCCCAAACAGCATTCGCAGCAACATGGAAGCCTGTGGAGCCATGGCCTGGGGTGCTAGCCTGGCTTCCAACCCAGCTTTCAGCCCAGCCCTTACACCACACAGACCTGGGCAGGGTCTGAGGCTGCAGCGGGGAGGGCTGAAACCAACTACAGGTAATCAATCCCATCAAGCGCTGTTCAAAGGGAACACCAATGTTACCAAATGAAGCCTGTCCACTCAGCCATAAATACAGCCATTTAGAAAACGCAATGCGAGGAGAAGTCTTCAGGAATGAAACAGGCAATATGTTTGCAGATGAGGAGAACAGCTTTTTGGCTCTTGGTGTGGCCAAGTACTTAATCCCAGTGGATTTGGGACAGTGGGGAAGAAAAAGCTGTGCTGTGTGGGACTTTGCCATGGATGCTTTTAAATTCTACTCCTTGAAACAATGCACCTGAGTGCCAACCGATTCAGAACCGCTGTTCCCACAGTGCAGGAGGAGGGACGAAGCCCAGTGCCTGCTGTGTGAATTTGGTGGTGCAGTCATGTGAGAAGCCACTATGCAGAGCCAGCAGCTGCGTGGCAGGGACTCTCTTCGTGTCTGTGGTGTGAGTGCCTTAGAGGGAGAAGGCATGGGCACCCAGGAGGTCTGAACACACTCAAGGGGCAGGGCCACCTGAGCTCAGAGCTGAGGGCATCCCGACCCTGCCTGGCTCCGGCCCTGGAAAAAACTTCCCGACATAGTGAGCGAGGAAGATTGGCCTGCATCACACTGCAGTGAGTGACCCACGCCTGGCCGTCAGAAACACCAGACGTCTGTCTTGGTTTTATTTTATGAGGTTTGGGGCAAGAAGTTTGAGAGATGCAGACTGGCATCTCTCACAAAAACGTATTTAGCAAATTTAATTTAAGTGAATTAACATGCTCTGTCTTAACCACCAGAATGACTTACCAGCCTTCGGGATTTTGGGGGGGGCGTGTATGTATTTAAGCATTTGACAGACTTACGTGGGCAGGATCCTCACTGCTTGGTGGTCATGGATGAGGTGACGGTGCAATCCCGGCCATTGCCCGAAGCGTACACACTGCTGCAGCAATGGCTTTGAGACCATCCTTCAACTCCAGTCGCAGGTGGAAAGCTGTCCAACCATTTGGTTTCCACCTGTGCTAAACTCCATAACTCTTTTCTTGCTAGGGGGATACAAGTCTCCCACGCAGGGAGAGCCAAGCTCTCAAGGCTCCTTGGCACAGAGGAGGTCAGTGAGTGAGTTGACTTCCAGAGTCTCCTCTGCCTACTGCAAATTGGCCATGGAAGGGGCCACCATTCTTCACGGACAGTGGAAAGCTGGCTCTCATCTCACCTCCTGCTCATGTGGGTGGCTGGCACCCATTTGCTCCTTTGCTATGTGGATGTGCTGCCACCTGCCTTGTTTACTGCGTAAGGTGGGTAAAGACAAGGGGGAGGGGGTCATTAGGAAAGTGAAGGGTGCTCAAGACGCCCCAGAACAAACAAATGGGTTAGGACACGTGGCCGGGTAGATTATTAATAACTAGATTGCCATCGATACCCTGGGAGGCCTGGATGACCCAGAGGTGGCCCTGGGATGTTCCCTGTGAGGTCCCGAAGTGAATTGTGTGTCCTCTACAAAGGGTCTGTCATTCAGTACTTGTTCAGGAGGGACTCGCTGATCTCCCTAAAATAGCTGCCACTCCCACACACCCTGCAAAACCACCACAGGGAACCTGCGAGCCCAGCTCTCTCCCTTGTGACCAGTGCCAGGCACCTGTGGGACACTCTGAGGTCCAGCTGGCTAAACCGGCTGCAGCCCAAACTGAAGGCCATCGGGATGGGGGGAGCAAGCACTTTCAGGTCGAAATGAATGACCTTGTGTGTTCTCTTTCCAGCCAACTCCAGCGCACCCCAGCCTTGCAGAGCAGAGGCACTGCGCTCCCACGTCCAGGGGAGGGGCTGCTCAAGCCCCCAGGCTGGAAGGGTGGGCGCAGGGACCTGGGACCTGCTGAGTCAGGGGCGAGGGGGTCTCTAGACTTCTCGCATGGACGATCACCCAATCCCGGTACACACAGAAAAGGGGTCGAGCCTGCAAATGCCACCCCCACCTTGCCTCCCTGCCTGGAATCCCCAGCCTGAGAGGGACAGGACTCCAGTTAAATCAAGTAGGTATCGCAGAAAGTCCCTCAAGTTTATTTTAATAGGCTTTAGAATTAAACACAAATATGCAACACAAACTGTAGGGGCAGGAAAAGGGATGTTGTGACCCCATTCATTCAACCAATCACTGCCAGGGCTGTCCCCACCCCCATCCGTTCTAACATCCAGCTAGAACCTTGTCCCAGCATGTGACAGGCAGGGGCGGGGGTGGGGGGCAGGCCGCCCATGCATCCCCCAAATGCCACAAAAAGACAGGTGGTATCTGGTGGGTCGGTCTGAGGCAGGTGCAGAGGCTGCAGCATCTGAACATGGAAATGTCGCTCCAGCCTGGAAGGGGACAGAGGCAGACACCACGTGGAGAGAAATCTGAATTCTGATGGTGTGGGGGGTGGAAGAATCGAGGAGGAGGCACAGCAGCTGCTGCCCCATGTGTTTCTGGGGCAGTGATGGCTCAGATGAGGAGCCATACACCATGGGTGTCCGTAACAAAAGAAAAAGCAAAAAAAAAAAAAAAAAGAAAACACGAAGCCAGGGCCATGTGAAAATTAGCTCAAGTACCCAAGGTCACGGTGGGTTAGGGTAAAGCTCTCACCAAAGTCCACCTAATGAGGAATTACTTAGTGCTAACAATGCTACAACTCTGACCACAGCAGCCTAACACACTGTACCACGTTCTAGCATCACACGGAAGTCGGTATTGCTGTGTAACTGCGTTTAGCAGGTGCGGCTATGTAAGCGGTTACTAAATCGGGCAGCTAAGCTGAACCGAATGTGTGTTTGCAGGTTGTGCCTGCTACAAGAATAAATGATTGTGTACTTAGTCAATGTGGCATGATCTACTCTAATGGAATGCCCAACTCAGTATCACAGTATCATGCAGAGCCACTAAAGCAAAGAGAAATGGTGGCACTTCCATGTGGATTTACTGTGTATGTCCCCAGAAGGAGCAAGACCCTTGGAGGTTTGCTGGAGATGTACCCGAGGCCCGGAAGCCCAGCTTGGACTCAGGCTAGGGCCAGGGACCATGTCTGCCTTCATGTTGGCCACACGTGTGCCGAGTAGGCGCGCCCTGGGCAAGCCGACTCCGTCCGCTGGCTGTTTCTTCCCTGCTCCATGGCTCCGGCCCCTGCAGGATCCCCTCATGGTTCTTCTCGTCTTGGGCACACTCAAAGACAGGCCTGTGCTCAGGACAATTTTGGGGGGCCTCAGGGAGAAAGTGCAGGGTC